ACCGTCAATGTATGGTGGTTGAAAAACTCTGGTCTTAACCCTGACAACTATTCAAAATTCAAGAAAGCCATTAATTTAAAAAAGAAAAAAATGTGAGAAATAAAAATAATAATAGATCTAATCATAAATAAAAATTATGGGTCGCAGTTCTATCGAAGCCGAAGTTGTCGGAAAATTTACTTCTAACAATAAAAATCAAAATGGGAACAGCACTTCAACTCAAGAACGAAGCATAGGCCTATATATCTCTATTTTTTAAAATTAAGAAATCATTCTCTCGCCACAGGATTGACACAATATATTTGTAAAGGTTTAGAAAATGTTCATGTAGTTTTTGGGGTTTTTTTTTTTTAATTCTCGAAAAATTTAGTATAGAAATAATGAGACTAATAACAGAAGACTGAAGTGATCGCTATTTTTTTGACTTCGCATTTCTTTACATTTAATAATTTAATGTGTTAGATCTAATTCTAATCAAAACGGGTAATTGTAATATGTATTTATTTCTTTTTTTTTTTTAAATGTATATATAGTGTTGTTTATAAATTTATAATATCTTTCTTACAGCACGCTGTTCAAAAGTGACGGTTTTTTTAGAGAACGTCATCTTAAAGTTAAAGACAACGGGAGGGCTAATCATCATTTCAAACATAATGATAAGAAATGTCAATGAGCGCATTATAACTAATACAATTTAATAGAATCATCATATTTTAATATCTTAAATTTATTGAGACATTAAATTAAAATTTACATAAATGAGTGTCTTTGCTTTGTTTGTTTGTTGTTTTATTTTTTTTTCCTCTCTCTCTCTTTCTTTCTTCTGGAAGTGTATGTGAAAGTGAATGTGTGTTTGATCATTCAAAAGTAAAAATTTAACAGTGCTTAAAGTTAAAGCATGAAAAAATTCATTTGTCTGACCTACAAACATGGACGTACACAAATATTTTATTCGCATTTATTAAATACCTTTAAATGAATTAATTATTTTTAAACCTACCTTATAGATGTCCGAAATCAATATTTTAATAGGCTGCAGATCATCACATACTGTTGGGGGGGGTTTTTTCGAATTGAACCGCGAATGTCCCACAGCAATAACAAATCTCATGAATTTAAAAACTTGTGCTTTTTAAGTTCCACATTGGATACTTGCAAACAATCCTATTAAAGTGCATCGGGTATTTGTTTTGTTGTTGTTTTTTTTTAAGAATTAAACCTACATTAACAACTACTTTTTAGCGACCATTACTTTGGCTTGAGACGAAGACCCCCTTCCGCCTACGATGCTGAAAAAAACATCCAGTGGCAGTGCCAGCAGACGAGCACGGCATGAAGACGTGAGAGTCATCGGACTTGGCAACTGTGCGACGCCTGCTGAACGATAGATGAATCAAGGGAGAGCAGTGCCATTGAACGAAGGCTCGTGGAATGAACTGATCCTTCTGTGGACAAAAAGGTGGGGGGAACATTTGGCCTTCATTGTCTTTAGAGTCAAACCATTTGACAGAATCCAAATTTTACTGAACAAATCCCTTTATTTTGAATAACTCTTGATCTCGGATTTTATTGTTGAAAACTCAGTTGCATTAATCATTAAAATAGCATATTTTTAATTTTATCAACAACAACAAAATTATTCAATTGAAACAATTGCTATTGTAACTGTAAACATTGATATTTCTTTAAGAATAAACTTTTTTAATTGCTAGTATAATATCTAATGTTATTTAAATACGCCTTTCATCACCAAAACATATTAAGCATAGTCTATAGTTCATTGAAGAGAAACCAAACAAAAAGTATGTTCCAGCTATCTTTTACCATTTTCAGATCTTTGTGGAGTATTTTGAGTTCTCTCCAGCATTAAGCCCATAAGGAAAACGGGAAGACAATGACAACAAGTAATGAATTACGCATTGTTTTAGTTTGTTTTTGTTTTTTCCTTTATTTAAATTCATTTTAAAATTAAATATAACTGAAAATTAACTGAGCATTAAAATGACTAGGGGAAATAAGAAGTTTATAAATTTAAAAAGCTACAATAGTATCACTGGTTAATGGCCTTTACATTAAAACGCTAAAATACGAATTTGCTTGAAGTTGCCTGAAGTCTCATCTTGAAATGTCGCACAACCATCAAAAAGGTAGAGGAACTTTTTTTTTTTAACGAAAAAAATAAAATGTTTTGTTATTTTATTGGGGGGGGGGGGGGGGGGGNATGATACTCAACGCCTATGGCACGTAGCATTTTGGTGAAAACACCAGGGGAAAAAATATCAAATTTGAAATAACTTCAAAGTGGTTTTTACTGTACATAACTGTATTTACAATAGAGCATCATATGCTGTGTAAGTATAAGGTAAGAATAAATTGTACATAAGCCACTGATTTCACCCAACCATTCTGTTGGAGTTTGGAGGTATCCAAAAAAAAAAAAAAAAGGTTATCCGAAACCACCCTTTTATTCTCAGGTGGCTGATATTGGGAACAATTCTACACTTGATTTTCCTTAAAAATAGTTAAGCTGAAAAAAAAAGTATATACCCATAGCATTACATCAAAGTCATTTCGGGAGCTAAATCCAACTCAGTATATAAATTATTATATTTCTTGTGGTAAATCTTGATCTATATGGAAACTGCCAGTTAAATTGAATTAATATCAATGGACAAATTAAAATGACCTTTGTTTAAAGACTGTTGGCGAATGTCAAGATATATAAATCAGTGTACAACTGTGAATTGTTTCCTTTAAATTTAAAGTTTAAACCAAGATATGCTTGTGATTCAAGATCAATGGTACTGGTGCAGCTACCATGACTGAATGAGAACAACAAAATTCAAGAAATGAAACAAACTTGGAAAAAAATCAGGTCTTCAGGTAACAAAATAATTTTGCAACTAAAATATACCAGAAAAAAAAGATATTTGCTTTGTTCTGTGTTTAGTTCAACCTATTTTTTAAATAACATTTTATAGTTTGGGGGATTTACTTAAATGAGAGATATAATTTGTGCGCCTGTGCATGCTGTAATTTCATTAGTTTAATTATTACATCAGATTGAGAACCCCTGAACTACTGCCCAGGGAATGAATACAAAGAGTAGAGAAGAGATAAAGATTAATTTTTTTAAAAATCATATTTATTGACAACTGTTTCATCAGATTGAAGAAAATATTTCAAAACAGACATTTTACTGACATAAGCAGTAATAAATTAACATAAAAAATGTTTTTTTCAAGCAAAACTGAAATAAGACATTCATCACAAAGACGTAACAATGCAATTAATAAATTATTACTGAATAAGTTATTATAGTTTAATAATTATAATACATTTTTTAACAAACCGAAAATAAATTTTTTAAATTTGTTAAATTGCCAAACATGCTTTACTGGAACTTCAAACTTTGTTCACAACTCATTCAGTGGTTCTAAATGGACTTATGATTTCAAACCCACACTTGACAAAATAATATGCTCAAAACAAACACTGTTTGTAAAACCATCTCATTGTGACTGAGGCTCAACACTATTTATATCCTGATAAGTTACAGACTTGAGCTGAAACAACCACCATCCTTGTGCAACAGGGGTAGCAACAAAAAAACAAAAAAAAATTGCATTAAATTCAAGAAAACTATTTCAAAAATTAACACCCACCCCGCAACCCCCGTTCAGCTCACCATTGATACACTCTGATATATTGAGGTCAAATAAGTTTTACCCAGTACAATGTGTACAATGAGAGCATTTCCTGGCTTGTGTTCCACCCACAATCTTCTTTTTCGTCAATGAACTCAACTCACACTCACTGGCATCGAACAATATTGTTAAAATTCAGATGCTTACAGATTCCGTTTTCCATTTAAGTACATTTCTCTATGAGATGGTGACACTTGGTATTCCATTTGCTGGAAGGAAGATGCACATTTTTTATTCTGGTGTCAAAATTGGGGTAAGGGCACACCCACAAAAATCCATATCCTGTCATTTCCTTGCATTTCTCATCAAGGTATGTTCAATTAAACTTATTACTTGTGCAATTCTTAGTCTTACTTACATGAAGATACTTTTGGCCTAATCTAGTGATTTTATAAATAATCAGGGTGTTTTTTTTGTTTGTATTTCAAAATAAATTTGAACAAATGGGACGGAATTATGACTGAACTGATTAAGTTTCAAAAAGCATATTCTTCTCATGAACTAATTGCATCTCTATCGGGATAAATTTCTAGCTCAAGACATTGGGAATGTATGGATAGGGCTTTGGAAATTACTTTTTTTTATTTTAAATAAACACAATTTTATCTTATCCAACTTTTGATTTCAAGCTTTGGTATAAATACTTTATGTCATTTGTTGTATTTAAAAACTGAATTTTTTTTTAAAATATGCCATAATTTTTAAGGTAATGCCATTTCCTACAGTGACTTGTATTATTTACATGAAATAATTATTAGTGAGGAAAGCACTGGCCTCATGGTTTTATGAATTTGAATTGAGTATTGAGCAATTTTTCTGTTTCTAAATAACCACCAGGTAGATTAAGTTTGATGATTTATTTTCTTTTTTTTTTTCTCTTACCGTTTTGAGAAAACTCTTCACAACTTGTCTGGATGAAAAAAAACCACCATAATTCAATACAGTTGCTCTAAACATAATACTGATTCATTTTTATTTTAAAATGCAAAAGAAAATATGTATGCCGAAGCCCTGACTTAGACATAACATTTAAGTAATAAATTATCGTATGGTACATGTAGTGTTAAGACAGGCCATCTACTGTTAAGACAGTTCATGTACTGTTTAGGTCTATAGTGGTTCTGCTGGTGTCACCAGAAGCCCTCAACATGAGTCTACATAATTTTAACAGCATAAAAATCACAGCCTGGCAATGGTTGTACCAAATGGGAATATCAACAAACAGAAATGATTTTTTATTTATTCCTATTGGCACTTTGATTTCAATGTATATATAATGTAATTGACCATCAATTTATATATAATATAATTGACTTCCAATATAAAAACCGTTGCTTGTATTCATGTCAAGTGTTACAAATATGGACCAACCACCCCCTACCCCCCACCCCACACACAACTTTTCCCACTGAGACCAGGCATTACTTGAATTCTGCCTATCCCTTATCCAAAGAAATTTATATTCACTACTTTTATTCTCAAGGTTTCAATTTCATTATTTATTCTAATCCTTACCATAAACCATTCATGTGCTCACTCTTCTTTAGCAATGTTTTTTTAAACATATTCCCCACAAACGAAAATGCTTATTTCTATTGCCTAAACTGGGTCAAGAATAATATTTTGCAAACAAAATAAGAAATGTAATTGTTTCAGAGATTGTGGGAGTCCTTCCTGGAGAATTTACCTTAGATTGTTTCATACGAAGTTGATGATCATAATTTCATTTAAAGGGCAGGTAAAAAAAAATCTGCCCTTTTTGTCAAGTTAACAAATGTGAGGATCTCACATTGCAGACGTTGGGATAAGAAAACTTTAAGGGGGAAATAATTATATCTCATTCTGGAGTTGCCCGTTTGGCTTTCAAACAATGTGATCTTCCAAAGGGTAGGACAACAAACACTCAAATTCTTATTCTACAAGTTACCCAAATAGACTTGGAGCTCAGATCAGCTGGACATGTTGACAAGTTCAATGGCACACATTTAACACATTAGCCAGTTCTCTCTCACCAATATTGATAATGTTATCTGAGCTTCAAGGAAATTAAACAAATAGTGTGGAATAAGTCCATAATCACTGTTACTGTGTTTCCTTCCTGTACACTTGTGGAGCAGTAGAGCAAGGTAGTTGGTTAATTTTTCTACAATTAACCACTGTCCGTTCTTACTGTGTTAAATATTCTCCTGCATTACCTCCAATGACATGTCACCCAAATAATTAAAACAAGCGACAAAAACGTCAAAGTTACTAACGAAGCACAATTTTAAAACAAACTTAAGCTCAAGGGAATTCTCGTCAAACTTAAACATCAACATTGTCATGTGGCAGTGCAGTTTCCAACAGTCATCAGATAGCTGAGTGTACTCGTCTCTTTATTCAACTCTGAGCAGTAAAGCGTACAGCAGAGTAGAGCCCCTCTCTTTGGTCACCCAGTCGATTTCAGAGTTCTTGAAGTGTGGATCTACCTGGGCCTCCGCCTCATCGATCTGGGGGCTCACCTTGTACGAGCCCGGCTTCACCCACACCTGGAATGCAGCACGACCTTCGTAGGTCTTTTTGGTCTTGGGATCAGAGAATCTGTTGAGGTTATAAATTATAAAGTTGGCAATGATTTGTCAAGTCTAAAGGTAACTAGGAACCAACCATTGTGCACTATATCAGAACAGGGATACCTTAACTCTCAAAAGACGGGAGATTGAAAAATCGGTCATATATGGCGGGTGAAAAGAACGACCACTAAAATATATATAAAAATAATATTAAAAGGCGAAAATAAAGATTTGCTATTTTGGAATGTTAAATTTCTATTTGGCAAGAAAGAAAAATCGTTTATTTTACTAGTTCTTGAAGAAATCTGGTAGCAACTTGTCCATTCATAAATTTTCCTTTTCGCCATTTACTCATATTTTGCCACAATTCCGGTTCGCTGTTACTACACTCTAAAACATTGCTATGGAGTCTGATTCTGATTATAAGCTTGAAATGGACGACTATTCTTACTTAGAAGAATATTTATGATGAAGATAGCACTTCAGATGTGTCTGATACCGAGAATTCTGTAAATTATCATCATAATAATAGCATCCAAGGTTTGTTTACTTTTTTCATTCATACTCAACTCACGCATACTGTGATACTTCTTAGCACTATTATTAGCCCTAACATTAGTTTTATTCAAGTTCCAGTAGTATAAAATTCTGAAATAGATTAAATTATTTATTTGTTTGAATTTAATTTGTAGTTATACAATTATTTTAATATTATTACGTTTCAGTTAGCAAAATGTAAACAATGGTTCTCAAGGCCAAGGCTATTTACTATTATTACACTGTAACAATCAGCTGAGTTCCCTTTTCAATGAAAACTTGAAGTAAAAGTAATTTAGGCAGATTGTTTAATATTTTGAATTCTTTTTATTTATATTGTAATTTTTTTATTTTAGCTAAACTAATTTTTTTTTTATATTTTGACAGCATCTATGCTATGAAGGGCAGATGTCAAACATAGTCAATACAATGGGCTATGATGACAAAAGACTGTGGGACTCTTTGCTGCATTTAGACCAGAGGTGAAAAGGACTATTGCTTCCTGATGTTATAACAAGAGAGGATATAAGGAGATTTTAAAAGCAAATTGACATTTTCAACCTCTACTTTACTACAGATTTGGTTGGTTATTAGTAAGCCTTGTGCGCAGGACAATGGACCGCAGAACTTTTGTGTTTTCAAAAATTGGTACCATTATAACATCATTGAAGGGGAGTTTTAGCTACTAAGTGGATTTATTATTATGAATGCTGGACTTATCAAGCTCTTAATTTTACAAGAAATGTCCAGGAAATCCTTTTATGATGGACAATGAGCAAGGCCATTAGTACTAAGGACATATTCAAGGCTATATTGAGTTTCCTAAAAGTTTCTGATACTGAAAATAAAGGAAACATGCTGTGCAAAATTGGGAGACACTTCTGTATCTCAATGCAAAATACAATCAACTGTATCAGCATCAAGAAAATGTAGCAATTAATGAACAATTTAGGGAACAATTGACATATTTGATGATGAACCTGATACTGTAAAGCCCGAAATCTTTACATCGTGCGCCGCAACATGACAATGATTGACAATAACAAAAAATGTAATTGTGGGTTACCAAAACAGGGTAAAATGGTCAGAGCATATGTCTCAGGCTTTCTTTTTGATACATTTGTATGTTTTAATAAATAAAGAAATTGTTTTCAAGAATTTTTATGCATGGTCTTGGCGAAGGATTATATCCTTTGATCGGTATCTCGGGGATGCATAAAAAAATTTATTTATTAAAATTTGCCTTTTTTTCTTCACTTTTCTTCTCAAATAATACTTACTAATAACCCTCTAAAGGATAATATGATGCAGTATATGTTTTCCTTTGAAAAAAAAAATTATTTTTATTTTTTGAAAATAATTTTGACTTTTTGAGCAATATTTCCTTGAATGACCTGTTGCCTACAAATAGTCATAACTTTTTTATTTATGAGTCTATTCTTTTGAAATTTGAATATGTTTTATAGTATTGAACAGATTCTAATAAAATATCAATTTTATTGATTTAATTGGAAACACTTTTTTTTTCCCTTCTTTGTAAAACTGTGATGTTATATTTTTGTCGACTTAAAAAAATAATTTTTTTGCCCAAAAATAATAAAACATCAAATTTAGCAAGGATATTGTGTACAAACACCAAGTATCAATTAAAGAGCATCCAATTACCTTTAAAATCATATATAATACTTGGAGGTAGCTACAAAATTACAGTCATGAGACACTTTGAAGAATAAGATATATTCAAGGTCATTAAAAAATGGAAAAATCTACAGTCTTTTGAGAGTTAAGAGACTTACCTGTGTTTAGGTGAAAACTGACTGCCACCTGCATGACGAATAGTTGGGGACAGATAAATTTGTTTGCCACCAAGATTTTCTGGACGAGATTTCTCAGTGTAAGGAAGTGGACGGGGTAAGAGAATGCTACTTGCAAAACCACCCTCATCTGAAATCAGTGAAAATTATAATTCTATTATGGCAACATTAACTAATTATAAAAAGTGTTGGACTGCAATAAAGCTTTAAAATAGATTAATAAGACACGAACAAATTGTGTCAATATACATGTTTTTGTCTGGTTTAAGCGCACTCTCCTATTTTTTTTCTTTTTTAGGTAGGATATGTATATTTATATTATGTAAATTTAATTTATACTTATTTAAATGTGTTTTTTGTTTGTACTGATGAAGGCATATGCCGAAACGTTTTCTTGTGTATAATGTATAATTATTATTAAAGCGTAACTTATATTGTTATATTTACATAATTTGTTCGTGTCTTATTAATCTATTTTATGGCAACAGACTGGCAGGGAGAAAAATAACATTTGATACACAGTAACTTGCATTCTTGTGAATACTGAGAACACATCCTTTTAGTTCAACAGAAAAAGGTGAAAGTTTAGGTAAAGTTACCCTAATCCCATTGTCCTGGATACCCCCTGATCCACAATCAACATATGAGGATGTACAGTAGCCACCACAAGCATCATGTGTTCCCTCAACACCTGGTTATTATATTCATTACATTTCAATGGACATCTGTTTCCATCTGAACAGTTCTAAACAATGATATTTAATCATAAAAGCTGGTACTAGCACTGGTACCTGAAGGAAGAAGATCGAATGTGTCAAGAATTCTGCGAATATCTGATGTGCGCACCCCATGATATGTTAGGTGCCATTTCTCTGCCACATTCAAGCTGTGAGTTCTGTTTGGTGCTCTAGAAAAACAAGACAACCTCGTTTCAAAAGAAGACAATCTTTTCAACAAGACATAAATTCTTTTCACTTGTATTTAACTTTACCTACTGGACTGTAAATTGTTAAGCAATTTTGTTGTTCACTTCTGACAAACAAAATAATTCATGAAAAATTAATTGGGGTAAACAAATTCCAAGATACTTATAAACTCTTCTTCAAGTTGTCATTCTTCAAAAAGTTTTTGTGGGTTTAAAAAGGAGTTATAAAAAAAAGGTATATATTTAATGATTATTAAATCCCTCAGTGTGTTATTCAAAGACACAACCTTATTACACTACACTGGGCACAGGCCTTTTACACAACATTGAGCACAGGCCTTTAACCCAACACTGGGCACTTTGACGAATGCAATTGTAAATTTTAATATTAAATGTTGCACATCATATTGATTGATTGGATATTTATATAGCACTGGTATCCATGCTACTTTAGCATGCTCACTGCGCTCCGGTTTTTTAATTTTTTTAAATAGGCCATGAGTAAGTTTTAAGTTAGTGATTTTGTATGACTTGGCATTTTTATTTCATGCTCCAATAAATGGCTCGATGGGCTAACTATGACCCCAACCAAACCCTGTGGCTGACCTTAAAACATAACGACACCATCCAAATGGAAGTACGACATCTTTGGGAGGGTCCCCGCGTCTGATGTGGCTCTCTTCTCCACGAGCTTTATGGCAGGCGGAACAAAAACAGATGCTCTGACCCTCAAAGTAGCCATCTGAAACCAAGCAGTTTGCTCATTTAAAAAGGCTAAAGTGCACATTTTAATGTGAGTCATCTGTGAGCAATGATAATGACATTGCTGGAAATGTGTATTCTAAATGAGTGCTTCTCAAAGTTGTGGTCTTCAGCTTGTTTCCTGTTTGTAAAAATTTGGATCCAAAAACAACACCAACCGACCGACCAAAATCTGGCACAGATATTGACTTGTAGCTGCTGGCCACCGTATGTTGTGTTTTAATGTAGGTGGTGTGTCTCGGGTGTTAGTTTCGCTGATGTAGGTTTCTTGTCACCATAAGGCCTGTGATGTATTTGGGACGTGATTTTATCTGTCTGTGACATGGTGTCCAGACTTGCCAGTCGCTGCCTGGTTTTTGAGTGTGACGGTTGGATTGCGTTCCCTTAGCGAGCTGCGATACATGTTTATTTTTCTAGCTTAGCCAGCGACACACTTATATATATGTATGTGTTTGTTTGTTTGAATTATTGTGTGAGCATATGATTGATAACTTGAATTATGTTTTCAATATAGGACTCGTGTTCAGTTTTAATGTGATTATGAAGTGTGAACATGAGAATGAATTTAATTATTTACCAAATGTAAGGACAGCTAAAACTCCATTTTAATCTTTGCAATACATCACTGTGATTTGCATTAACTTATAAAGTAATTGTTACACATATAACTGTTGCTATTTTAGTCAGGTTTATTGCAAAGCTTTAAGTAGCTAACATACTGAATCCACCAACTCACCTGGCAAGCCCAAAGAGGTTTTCAGTCTGTTACAGATATTGAAGTACTCACAACTCCTCAAGCCACAGCCACTGTCCACCCCGCTGCTGGCCTTATCTTTTCCTTCTGAAATGTATCACAGAGTGATTAAAATTAATTTTTTTGCCTACAAAATTCACTCCCTACACCTGCTGATAAGATTGAAACGGAACTCACAAAAATAAGGGTTAGTTCATTTTTAACACCATGCCCCATTATCTGCCACTGAACTCATTAATATATGTCACTCAAAGCAAGCCCTGACAATGACCAGTAGTAGAGTAAATCCGCCACCACCCTACTTGCAATCACCTTGGAAATGACTTGTGGTTATCATTCCATTGGGCTTTGAAGCTCGGTGATATGGAAAGGAAAAGTCACAACTAAAACATTCACGACAGGCAGTAAACCAGACAAGGAGCAATACTCACTGTTTTCTATGTCTGCCTTTTCACATTCCTCTTTGATACCTGTAGCTGCCATGCTCTCATAGTCCTCTGGAAGTATTATCACCTGGAGGTTGACAGTAAATATTGTTACAACAACTGACAGACTAATTAATTAGTCATGAAAGACAAATTCACCTAAATGAGTTACAAATGTTGCATTGCATCATTAAGAATTTATCTCAGAAATGAAACATAATTCAATCTCCTAATTTCTCAGTTAAACATGTCACCAGTGTCAACCGCACCTGTTCACACTGTCCATACACATCCACCAGAGGCCAGCATGGATGTGGTACGTCTCTGGCCGCAACTCCGTAGTCAATGCCGTTGACGAGCAGATGGAGACAAGACTCTTCATCCACCATCACACCCACACGACTGTTTTCTCCCAGGGTGTCCAGGTTGGGCCCATAATGATCTTTGACCTGTCAGGTTTGAATTGATGACAAGAGACAGATGCAACCTCCATTTTCTAACATCCCCCTATACAAGCTGTTCTTTAATAACTGTAATGGTCTCAGGAGTGCACTCTCCTGTAAGTAGGAATATCTTTGGGGACAATTATTACAATTGTCAAAATAGTGACTGCTGCCATTGCTTAAAGTTTATGCTGACTCTGGTGGGAAAGTGCTTTTACTGTTGTAAAAGAAGGGCTGCTTTACTGGTCCCAGTGTTGAGGGGTTGAAGGAAAATAGCAACATAAGTGGAGAAAAAACAACACAAAATGTGACAACATACGTTATTTGAATGGCTTTAAAATCGAGTTTCCTTTTTTTTTTTTCTAGCTAGATTAAGACAACTGAAATCTTGGGTTTCCAGTAGTCACTTGATCGAGTCCCCCTGAATGACAACACATGAATGCATTTAGTTACCTTATAACCAGAGACAAAGACCGACTCCCCCTGGATGACAACGCAAGGCTTCCTGATGGCTGTGGCTGACTTGGGGAAGGTGTACTTATCTACTGGGAAGCCAACGAGTCCTATCATCAAGGAGGATGTCCATTTGGGGTTCAGCTTCCCAACACGAACCTGGTCAAATGTTGAGCAAAGTCAAGTTTTGCAATCAAAGCTTTACTTTATCTTTACTTTATTTCAATGTGGAAATGCACCAGTCTTAGTGACAAGACACTAATATTGAACAGAATGTCACCATTTCTCTAGTACTCTGGTTCTACCGTAACAACCTCTGTGAAGGTTGCATTACGCCAGGAATACAACTATTCACAGGAAGAAGATGATTTGAAGCAATGAGCCAAAAATTAACCAGCACACCAAAACAATGTAGTTCACAAGAATAAAATGAAAGTGTCTCTGACCTGAAAGAGTTTTCTTTTCTTCAATGGTTTGTTTCCCACAACTAGAGCCTGATTGTAGCTGGCCAGTCTCTCGGCCTGCTTGCAGCAGTCACGTAAAAAGATGTTTTTGCCGTGGTTGCTATGGAAACATGTGGAGAGGTGGGCCGATGTGTCACTGTCCTGGTCCCTGTCCTGATATAGAACATAAATAGCCTCTGAACACCTTGTTACATGCAGTCCATACCATATCAAATAAATAGGGAATGGATACAAAAAGTTCCACATAGGGTATTCGAACCAACCAATCAACCATTTATTGTTAATTTTTGCCTTAATGTACCAGTAACCTGGTATAGTCACGAGTGTCTAGAAGGGGGGGGGGGGGGGGGGATTGGGCAGGAGAATCCCTGTTGTTATGTANTTGTTGTGACATATTTGGGTAAAGTGAAATGACATTTTATGTGTAGCTGTATCTATTGTGTCAGATTGTTGTGACATATTTGGGTAAAGTGAAATGACATTTTATGTGTAGCTGTATCTATTGTGTCAGATTGTTGTGACATATTTGGGTAAAGTGAAATGACATTTTATGTGTAGCTGTATCTATTGTGTCAGATTGTTGTGACATATTTGGGTAAAGTGAAATGACATTTAATGTGTAGCTGTATCTATTGTGTCAGATTGTTGTGACATATTTGGGTAAAGTGAAATGACATTTTAGTTTTGTTTTGTTATAGTGGATTGATGGCCGTTGTGTCATATTCATGGTGCAGCTCGTTTTGTGTGTTGAGGATTTCGGCTAAATGTATCGTTAAGGGAGAACGTTGATTTGATATTGAATTGTTAGTGCGGTATAGATTACTACGTCAGGTTTTGATGATGCATAATAAACTTATAGCGTTATAAGTTATATCAAGATATTCAGTGCTTGGTGTATTGATATCAGTTACACTAGTCTGTGTGAAGAAGTGAGAGACTATAATATCCCACAAGTAAGCATATGACTTCAAAGGGTAGATGAGCACAAGACAGAAAGTTTTGCATCTTGTCAGAGGGTACAGAAAGGGGCTGGGGGGCACACCAGGGTCACTTTTGGGGTTTATATATAACATTATATAAATAAAGTGTGTGTGTTGGGGGCCCACTTTTGGGAGCTGGCCCAGAACAGCATTTGGTATAGTGGTCTCAATCAAGGCCAACAATTGTAACTTTGATGGGTAGTTACATCACCTTCTATCCCCATTTCCAGAAACTTATTCTCATTTATTGTCTGTGCCGAAACAGATTTTGTGAGGAAGGGGTGAGGGTGATGCATTGAGAGAAAAACATATAGGCATGTGTTACAATATTTTTCAGAATCCTGGACATGTATATTTCATAAGTTTTGGCTGTAACACAAATCACTTTTAGAATATGGTTAACATTGTTACCCTTTGTTCTACATTTGCCATTGTTTCTATGCTTGTATAATAAATATTTTAACATTTTTTTTAAAATCAAGCCCTTCCTACTCATTAGTATTTTCTACATGGCCATTTGAAAATAAAAGATTTGGGACCTCTGGTAGATGTAAATACTGTAATGTTCAGTTGAATACATTTCATTTTGACAAAGTTATTACAAATGTACTGTTCAGTCACAGATGCTTGGGTCCTGGTAAGCTGACCCACCTAAAGGCATGCAAGGGCATGGCAATGGAGGTAATTACTTACCTGAAGTGACTGCTCAATCTCATAGGCAGGTGAAAGCACAATACTGGATGTCTCTATGCTTGCACTGCTTGTTATAACAACACCCTCAACAGCACCATGGAGATCTATCACAGCAAACACATTCTGGGGAACAGAGTGGAAGAGCTAATTAAATCAACATAATGATATGCATCTGTTATAGATATTAACGTCTGATGAGTTAGTTGGGCATAATAATTTAGAAAGTTTTACTTAGAAAACATGCGTACCCCCCCCCCCCCCAACAAAAAAAGCTTTCTTTTATTGGCGTAAATTTGGATCATTGGTAGTTCCACCACTGTACTTTTTCAAAGCCCATACATACTTTAAAAAATACACACCACCACTATTTAATAGCCTCACCTTTGGAATCCCACTGGCAGCCTCTCCCAGGTCATCCCCATTGAGCAGCACATGCATTGTCCCATCAGAATAACGACAAACTGCAACCCTGTCTCCAACCTGAAACAAAAAATAACTCATTTAATATCAGTTGAATGAATAATAGTTTTTTAAAAACTTTTTAAAAATTTAGTTAAACTGTTTTTTTCTTAAGGCCATACAAAATCTAATGTTTTTTCAATCTTATTTTAAACCTGATAGGACATCAAATATTTAAAACTTTATTTAACATAGCGGAGTGTAAAAATATTATTTTTGTAATTCAACACTTTAAATCCACACATCACTTCCTTCTTGAATGATAAACCTACACTTTATTAATCAAAAGTGAGCATTTCTTGTACCACCTGATATATTCCCAATTTTTCATTCTGAACACAGTTCAAGGTAATTTCCTCCAAAGCAAATATACCATTGAAATATTGATTAGTTTGTATAATTATTTAATTTCTATTAAAGTAATGAAATTTAACTGATTGTTAAATATAATGTTTAAAAGTGTCTTGAATATATGGTCAAAATTTGAATATATGGTCATAGGTTGAATACATGTTCAAAAGATGAATACATGGTCAAAAGTTGAATACATGGGCCATCATGGGGCCACTTTTGATTAGAACATTCAGAGCTACCATCCTTCTCACTTATTTGTATTTTATTTTTATTCAGAGATTTGATTTATTCATTTTTTCTCCTCAAAATTAATGGACCCACCTATTCAATATTAAAACTTATCCAACTACCAGTTTTTTTCTTCTTTGTGTGCAATAACCTATATTTCTATGGCACTGGTTCAAACGCAGTGTTGAAATAAGTCATTTACTAGATTTTTAAAAACTGATAAGATTATTACTTGAACAATTAACCTTATTTAATTACAAAGCTTTCTTTATGAATCTTTAATTTTAAAAAAGTACCTGTAGCCTCTGTAACGAAGGGGCATAATTGTCTTTAATGACAACTCCACATTTCTTGACCTCTGAACCCATAACAACCCAGGTAACCTTTGAGGTTATTTCATCTGCTGTGGATGGTATGTTGACTGGTGAGCTGGAGTCCGAGATGGCCATGGTGGTCAAGCCAATCTTGAGGGAGCCGGACCACTGACTAGACACCTCACTCACTTCCACCTGTGGGTGGAGGAAGAAATGGTCTTAATATGCTTTAATTATGCCATTATTTTACATTACTTTTCCTTCAACTAAATTGTTAAGAAAAGTGGTTCCTTGCCTTTTTTTAAATTACAGTTACAACCCTATCTGTTTTTTCTCAATCAACCACATGCTTCCATAATTGAAATAAATAAAAATATTTCAACAAGGAATATAAAATGAGCTTTTTGTTCCACAACACAAAAGAAAACATTTTTACTTGGGTGACCCAGTTCAAGATAACTTTAACCAATGTCTTGGAGATTTAAAAATACAAACTAAAGAAAATCTTAAAGAAATAGAATCATCCATTCCAAAATTTAGTTAGCAGTTCTTTGTTTGGGAACAGCTACTCTACAATTGGACAAATTTTCTATTTGATTTTATGCTAAGGGACCAATAGATACAACTGATTTTACATCAATATTAATTTTATCACCTTTTAGTGTAACATTGTTGATCCTGGGACAAAACCTACCTCAAAGATTTCATCATATCACCTTTTAGTTTCACATTGTTCATCCTGGGACAGAACCTACCTCAAAGATTTCATCATACTTGAGGGGCTCAGAGCTGAAAACTATTCCGTGGTTGTAGCTCTGGATACGACTTGCACCCCAGCAACTGCTTCTTAGCGTCACATTCTTGCCACAACACTTGCTGAGACGATGAGTTATATCTGTAATAAGTAGAAATGATAGATCAATTGCCCGGCAGTATGAGGTTTTGACCCACCCTACACAATAAAAAGTCCTCTCAAGTCCTACTTCCCTCCATGACCTCCAACTGGCTTGCCAGTGGTTTGGGAAAGTTGAAGGCTAAGAAAAGAAACCCCAATATGAAATCCCAGGAAACCTGGGCCAACCCAAGGCCCTTTTCACAGAACTACACTTTTCTTTGCATTAACTCTCTGCAGTCCGACTATAGAGAAATGGTACTTATATGTACCATAGATTTTGTGGGTGGGTTATTTATTTTTTAATTTTTTTTTTTATTGAAAAAAATTATTTATTATATTTTAATAATTTGTTTCATTGGTTTAAGTATTTGTAAAAAAATTAAAATTATTACAAAATTTGAAATTACTATTTAAAAAAAATATTTTTGGAAACTTATTCAGCGCGGAGTATCCCTTGAAAGCTTCGCAGATTTCCAAAAAAACAAAAAATATAAGTGTCACAAAAAAAATTAAATAGTAGTATGAATATTGTCAAATGATTTTAATTTCCCGATTTATCAAGGAGTTATTTGTTTGTCTAAAGCAATGTATCCAAATGGAGACTCTAATCATAAAATTTATCACGATTTGCATATAAAAGTACCGACTAATGCTATCGTAAACAAGTAAGCTTAATTTTAATTATCATTTCCCGAATTTAAAATTAATAATAAAACAATAAAGTGATATTTTTATAATTTTAATTGGCTGAAGTATATATTATCCATTTATACTTACATTGATATATTCTATTTGAATTTTATTGAGTTTCAATAATTATATAATAAATAAATAGCGTCGCTATGCGAAATAAATATTTTTAAAAAATAGCGGAAAATTTCGGCCGATGGGAACTTGCGTAATTAAATAAATTTAAAGTTAAGGACTTCTGAGTTATTAACTAAATATATTTCTTTAAAATATGTTACAGCCAAGAATAATCTTCTAAATTTTCTAATATTGCATAGTAGAAATGTGTTTAAATTTAATTATCATTATCGCTAGTCACTAGTATTAGTAGAGACTACTGTCGGCAGAATAAAAAAAAAAACATTTATGTTTTTATTAAAAGCTCTCTAACTCTATTGGGAAGGAGGAGAGAGAGACAAAAATGCAAATATTGGATCAAGAAGCCCTTATTCCTTATTGATCCTAAATATTAAGCCTGGACTCCACCCTTTTACTGAGTTACAGAGTTACTGGATGGATATCTTTGAAGATTTTACCCTAAAAACAAGTGGTGGTAAGTTTTAATCTAATCACTTGGTAGCAAAATGCATAAAGAATAAACTCACAATATTGTTATAACATATGTTATAATGTATTTTCTATGTACAATGGTTTACTTTTATACTAATTTAGGCACTTGGACTAGGATTAATGGTATTTTCCCTTACTGATAGCATACCATTACTGATACCATTAGTGTTAATTTATTTATGAATCAATCAAATTTTTTTTTTCCACAGGTTCTTTATTGAGTGAATATTCTGTGGTGAAAAATCTTACCTAATCTTATGTAGAAATCAAGTCCAGGACAAGCTCTTATTTATCAAATATAATTATTATAATAAAACTGCAGACTGTTTTAAGAAATAATATTTGTTCAGAGTCCATAAATATAATTAAGGAATAATGTAGTTTATCAGCCTGTGTTATGTGAGGATTATAACAAAGATATATAAAAATGCCGGTACATGGGAAAAAATAGATCACATTAGTGAGGAATGGATTGTATTTGACATTAATATCAAAATTAGCATTATTGTACTGATACATTTTAATTTTTTTTAACTTTAACATCAGCGAATACCGCTATTTTAAAATTAAAAAAAAAAAAATTGACTCTTGTTTTGAGTTATTTATATATTCATCAAATTTTACTTAGTCATCTTTTACTCAAGAATTATTAAGAAATATATTTAATATACAAATCTATAAGCTATGAGACCCATTTTTTTAAATATATTACATACAAAACATAATTTTCATTAAAAGAAAAATTATAGTGCATTTTTTAGGAAAAAAAGACAAAATATAGGTTTTGCTAAAATGTTGACAACTTTTTGATTGTTCATAGAATTTTTGTCATGTTTGACTATGAATTGTATAAGTTGATGAAGTATTTTATTTAAATAAATTTTAAATCTTTTATAACAAGGATTTTTTTTTTCCTTCATACTGTGTAAAGATTTGGTCAAATTTTTGCATAAAATGAAAAAAAATAATTCTCCAATAATGTTTCAATTATTTTTATAACTAAGAAAATAAAATATACAAAAAATATCTAATGATAGCTGAGTCAAAGATGAACAAGTTAATATATTTAACTGATCAGATCAGAGCTATTTCAGATCAGTTAATTAATTATTTTAAAAAATCACATTAAGATATTTAAGAAATGTGAAAAAAACATCAGACTGCAGAGAGTTAACTCATTCCCTCCTGCAATGCTACTTCCGTATTTAATTTATTTTCCTGAGAAAGGGAAGTAACCCCGTTTGAAATTGTTTACATTTTTTAAATATTTATTTAAGCTACTAAATATTATTTAATTTTAATGAATTAAGAACAAATGCAACAAAAAATGAATAAGGTTTAGTATAAATATAACATTAGCGGGGAAAAAATAACGAACAATGATCAAAAAATCGATTTTCGGCACCTCGGACGAACACATGCTACATATAGACGAGCCATACTAAAGCACACGTAGTTTTAAAGTGAAACAAGATAAAAACTTCCGGTTTTTAAATTAAAATCACGCTGAACCACGCCATCGCCGGAAGTCTCGAGGGATGCGAGATTTCATTGCTATTTTTAAATAGATATGAGAGAGGTGTGTCGCTATGCGCCGGGACGTATTTGGACGCATCCGGCGAAACCCGTAAAAGACGCATTTAGTCGCAAACGTCGGGAATGAGTTAATGTCAGTGTGGAGTTGTGAATCTTGGCCAAATTAATATACACTTACCAGCATTGGCCACAGAGGGCGTTGATATCTGTTCTGTTTGGACACTCGACAGTTGCTGCAACATTTCAACTGCTGGTAGGACCACTGTTCCAGTGGACATGCTCACCTGAGCGCATTGACCATACAGATCTATCACAGCATACACACCTACACAAAATGAACAAAGATTGAGACAAAGCATTAACAAACATAGATTTATTGCAAGATCCAGTTGTTTTCTTTTCAGATACAAATAATTCAAAGTACAGATACCGTAGAAGCCAAAAAGCCACACATATAGTTTTTAACATTACACATTTAACCTACCCTCTTAAATTAAATTATATGTGAAAAACATTAACTGTTGGTGAATTTATTTGCTGTTATTTACTTTACAATGTTGCACTGAAAGCTGTCTTACCAGATGCAATGTCAGCACTAGCCACCCCTTGATCCACCCCATCCAAGTAATAGTGGAGTGTCCCATCGGAGCATCTCATCATGCCAACTTTTGATCCCACCACCAAAGAGTCCAAATCCAAGGGGTATCCATTGCGTATTGTTGCTCCGTCCTGCATGATAGCCGACCCACTGCAACAGGACAAAATATTACATCAAAACTTAAAACACACAACAAGCAACATTTTTTAAATTTTCCCTATAGAATTCAAACTGATCCTTTCATATCATAAAAAACTGTTTTTAGTTATATGGATCAGAAAGCTTCATCTGCATATATCATATATTTGAAAGGTGAAAGGTGAACAGTACAAAGGAAAGGGTGGGATCTTAAAAAATTTCTAGGTCCCTCATTAACCATAATAAATATAACTGAGATGATTATAAAACAAGATAGTCATTTAAATCACAAAGTGGTCAAAGTATTTAGTTGGTATTTATTCACCTGAGCATCCAGGTATCATGCTGTATGTCTGTCATTGTGCTTGGAAACTCAATGTCCTCTGGTTTGACTAATGTCACACCTGAAAGGTAGAAATGTTTCTTAGTTTCAAGAAGTGATCAAAACAATGCAGCTTTTCTTGTTCTATAAAACTAACCAGAATAACACAAATTTCAGAATGAATTTAACAAATACAAACTTTAAAACTAATTATTTCTTTTTTAAATTAAGCTCAAAGAACGCATCCTACAACAGAAGGGATTATTTAAATCCTTTATATTTAAAATTGGCTTTCGTTCCTGTGTTTCTGTGTTAAATGGAAAATCTTTGGACGGCTAATTTACCCACTTCCCATCATCCTATCGAGCTGAAATTGGCACATAGACTCATCGCCAATGACAATACATGCTGTCAAATTTTCAGCCTCCACCCCCAAAAATCAGTTTTATTGCTACAAGATGACACTGATTTCATTAAATAAAATTCCCAATAACTGCGCTTCTGGTGTGTAATATTTTCTTTCATTTTACGGAAATGGTGTTATAAATCTGCAGTGTAAAAGCGGGTGGGACATTAGAATTTGGATTCTTATAAAGTGCGTTACTTGAATACATGTTTTGTAAAATTTTCAGCCCCCACCCCCATTACTAGATAATACATTTTTATAAAGGATTCATACTTAAAACTTTGTTTTTAGGGGTTTTATAATTTTTTTTACAATTTTCTGAAGTACATTTTGATACCACTGAAATAAAATAACATGAGATATTTTGAGAAAAGGGTGTGTAAAATAGTTTTCTCAGTGATAGTCTATCCATGACTATGAAATATTTAAATGTTATTGTATCAAATAGTATTCTCAGCAGTATTCCATCCTTGACTAAGAAATATTTCAATGTTGTCAAGTACATGTTAGACAAGACTGAAACTGATTGAATTAGAAGATCTAGAAAAATATAAACCAGTGTAAACCCTATAAATACTCTGCTGTTTTTGGTTTTTTAAATTTCCAAGCTAGCCATCACTAGTAATTCCTTTTTTAAATTTATCTCTCACAACGAACACTACAACAAAATGGCAACAAAACTCTGCTCCACCTGCTTCCAAGGAGCCTGACCACCGGTCAACCATCTTCTCTATGACCACCTCAAAAAGCTCCCCGTCCCTCAGCGGCCGGCTGCTCATCACTATGGCATCATTGAACTCCCCGGTGGCGTTGGGCCTTGCGGCAGTCAGCCCATTGTGAAGCACTGTTGCATTCCTGCCATGAAGGTGATGGAACTTTAGCTGGTCTGGATCTGTGAACACACTGGAGTCTGTGTCTGGTGATGTTAGGGCATCTGGGAACACAATATGGAAATGATAATTATCACAACATGGCTTAAGTTCATGATAACACCTCATAACAGTTGGCTCAACGGGTTTCAACATGTCAACTAGCCTAAAAAAATTAAATGAAGGGGTTACTCTTTCAACATGTCACCTAGCCTAAACAAATTAAAGGAAGGGGGTTACTCTTTCAACATGTCAACTGGCCTAAACAAATTAAATGTAGGGGTTACTCTTTCAACATGTCACCTAGCCTAAACAAATTAAATGTAGGGGTTACTCTTTCAACATGTCACCTAGCCTAAACAAATTAAATGAAAGGGTTACTCTTTTAACATGTCAAGTAGCCTAAAAAAATTTCACTAACACCAAAAAACCATCAATACTCACACTGCAGCTAATTCACCTGGCAGGTGTGACCCAGACTTACCTGACATGTCCACAATAGTTGCCTGTGCCGCCATGCCGTAGAGATCAATAACTCCATACACATTGGGGGGAACATTGCTCGCACAAGCTCCCTGATCAACTCCATTCACAAAGAAATGAACTGTCCCATCTGTCATACGGACCACGCCCACACGGTCACCAATCTTTAGTTTGATTACAAGAAGAAACTTTCTTGTCAGTTAGAGGGCGGTAGTTTGTCAAGATATCTAATTCCTAGAACTATTGGTTTGTTTATTAGTCAGCTAACTATTCTTAATAATTTTTAATAGAGAACTTAATTTTTGTTAATAACTTTGCTTTATGTTTTAATGTGTGCTTTATTTTTGACAATGGTAAGTGAGTTTTTTTCTCACATCAATCATCCACAGCATGACCCCATGCTACATTAGTATATATCACAATTTTAACCATCAAGCAGATAAACTTTGACAAGTTTAGTCTCTATTAACCTTGAGTCTATCCAGATTCTGGCCGTAATCTTCAATAATGGTAGAACCATTGTGCATGACCCCGTTCCCCGTCATCATCCAAGTCCCAGACCGAATGTTTGTCATGGTCGAAGGGAAATCCAGCTCTGACGGTTTGTGTGTTGTCAGACCAATCTCTATGGAGCCTGCCCATTTGTCCACCAATCGGTCTAGCCTTACTTCAAAGACCTCATTGGGTCGAAGCATTCGGTTGGTCAGAATCACACCATTGTTGAAATCTTCAGTGGCGCTGATTGGAGAAAGCACACAGATTTTATTATTTAAATAATTTGTACCGGTAACCTAAACAATTTTTTTTTAAAAATGGTCATCAGTTATTGCAAATGTCCACAAAGAATCTTATTCTACTATATAACTAGATCCAACAAGACAGGGAACTAGGTTGATATTTTACTTTGGTCTGTGAGCAGTTCTGTTGCCATTGATAACAGCAGCATGTACACCACACACAGGACTAAAAAGTAGCTTCTCAACATCCTCTGTTGTCTCTAAGACAGAAAAAAAAAAGTACAAATTAAAATTAATTTTAACTTGGCTTTTTTCCAGCATTTTGAAACACCAGTTAAGACAATCATTTAGATAGCCAGAGACGATCTTTTAACTGACCAGAAACAATCATTTAACTAGCGAGAGATAATCTTCTTTAACTGACAAGAGACAATCATCAGTTCTAACTTGCCGGAGAAAATCTTTTATATTGATGAGAGTCAAACTAGCATAGAAATTGTTTTTTTAACTATTTTGAATGTATGAATAAAATATTTATTGTGATACAAGAATCTTATATGTAAAATAGAAACTAGGAGATTGCCTGAGATCTGCGACTTCCTAATATTTTAAGTATCAAAGTGGATTTGAAAGAGTAGATTTTTTTTTAAAGAGCTAGCTCATACACTGGTAAATCGACTTTAATGATATTACTAGATCACACACTTAATAACTTCCTCAAGGGAGCTGGTGGGACTAGAGTCATTTAGTTTTATGTGATCCTAATCAACTATGGCTTCCAACTACCCACCAATGAGTCAAACAGTGCAAGTCTAGTGCCCTACCTATGCAAGCCACAGTGGACAAGGTGTTGTGCCTAACCAATACACCTCTTGGGGCTTCAAGTGAGGGCCTACCAGTGTATGCATCTGGGCATATATGATGCACTGTATGCCTTAATAGTGCATGCCACTGGGCATGAAATATCACAGATATTTGCCAGTAAGTCAATAGTTAAAGAGTCGTCTTGAAATTTTAATAATTGTACCTGTCACAACTCGAGATTCAGCTCTCTCACTGCCTTCACAAGAGTCCAGAAACTGTCTTAGTGTGTTCACTAGGCTGCGTTCAACTGGCTGAAGTGGAACCATGCTTGGAGTAACTGGCTCAGGTTCAGTCGGACTGTGGTCAATGATTGTAACTTTCACAGCCATACCATAGAGATCAACAACACCCCAAACAGGAGATGGGGCATTAGCAGATGCCATGCCCTGGTCCAAGCCATTGATGAAGTAATGTAAATGTCCATTCGATTTGCGAACGAGTCCAATATGGTCTCCTTCCTGCAGGGGATCAAATACAAGGTTTTATTAAAACAATATTTAAAACTTAAAATATACAAGTACATCTTGCAGATGTTACATTTTTATTTGAACTCAAAGTTGTTACAAAATAGAATTTTTAATTTAAACATAAGAGTTCTTCACCTTTCATTGATCTAATTAATTTATTTACAAATAGTTTTAACTTTAAATTGAGAAGTGATCTGTTTACACAGAGTAGATTATTACGTAATGTAATTTATGTGTTTAATTTTTAAGAATTTATTTTGATTTGTTTAAAGTTTAGAAAAGTTAACCAGAAGCAACTGTCTAAGGCAAGAACTCTATTCTTTCATTGTAAAATTCAAGAACTCTTAAAAATTTATCTTAAACCATATCTTAACTAATTCATATTTACACTGAGTTCATCCAAGTTAAACTGCCCATATTCTCTGCGTGTGCCTTTACCATTGGTCAAAATGCCACAGCCACTCATCATTATCGTTCCTATAAAATAGAAAATGGCTTGAATTTGTACAAAGTTGGCCTTAAACATCACACCAAAACCACCACAATACCAGTTACTGAAAATTGTTTAAATTATTTTCAGTAATACTTTTAAGCTCTAATCAATGCAACTCATAATTTCAAGCAAGGTTACCAATTTTTAAAACCCAATTGAATGGCATCTAAACTTTTTCTTTACTTTCCAATTTCAATACAAACAAGAGAGACATTGAACCAGTGCTGCACTTACGACTAGAGCTTGCATTCCTCATGTTTGTCATAGTTGCAGGAAAGTCTAAAGTATTTGGATTGTGTGTTGTGATACCAACTTCTATTGAGCCTGACCACTTGTCCACTAGTCTGTCAAGTTGAATCTTTCAGGGAAAGGAATCAAACGTTTTGACAATTTAAAAAGTACATTTCAGTGAATTAAATCTCTACATATATATGCTTGTGCATGCAAACTGCTTTTTGTTGCCATATTTAAACTTGGTAAGAAACTATAGCAGAATCTAAGATGTGAACCATTAAATTTGTGGAAATATTTTTTTAGTACAGCCTCTTACAGAGTTTGTACAAACACTTACTTCGAAAATTTCGTTATCTTTAATCGGTCGATTTGTCATAACTACACCATTGTTGAACTCATCCAAAGGTCGACGTCGCTCAGCTGATCTGCGGTTATTACTAAGTTTAACAAGATTTCCACACTTTTCATGGAATCGAAGGCAGTCTCTAGAAAGACCATCCTCACTGGAAAGACTGATCTCTTGTTCTGCTGCAAGGTCATTTGCAATTTGGTTTGATATTTCTGTTAGGAAGTCGTGAGCTATTTCATTGGTGAAATCATTGCTTAATAGAGCTGAAGGGGAAAAAATTATTGTAATTTGAACTCAACATTTTTATGACAATTTTTTATGTACAATGTGTCATGCAAGCATTCAGTTAACACAACTCTAAATCTATTTAATTTTCAAAATTGCACAAATGTTTTTCCTGTCAATCGAATGAAGCACAGCTGCTTCAGAAAATACTTGTATGTTTACAATTTATGAGCAAGAGGCCCATTTACAAAATAGACTAAAGAAAAAAAAATTCTCAAGCAAATGTTTAGAGCTCACACTCACTGTTCTCTCTAGCTGTCATGGCGGATGGCTCAGAAATGGTGACTTGGGCACATTTGCCGTACAAGTCTATCACTGCATATACTGTGGGTGGAATATCAGTTGCTGCTGTCCCTTGATCTATGCCATTTACATAAAAATGTAGCTCACCCTCTGCTGTGCGTGCAACACCCACCTGCAGATTTGTTTTAAAAATTAATTTTAAGATACACTAAACTTAAATGAAAGCTAAATGTGAGACACTGTCTGTAAAAAACAGGTCCAAATAGCTGAGAGGTAATATCAGTAAGATAAAGGTTTAACAGCAAAAAATATATTTCAGTTTCAAAATAGGTATCTGTTAGCCTGAGATATATAGCAAGCAAATAAATGAAAAGAAGATTCACTGGATCTGCCCTGGCTATTTTGAATAATCTCACTAAGGTAATTCAAAATTTGAATTATATCTTACCCTATCGCCCTCCGAAAGTTGGTCAAGATCACAGCCGTAATCCTCTACTATAGAATGTCCATCACAAAGAATAGACATCCCTGACATAACCCATGTTCCATCCCGGAATCCAGTGGCACTAAATGGAAAATTTAAATTACTAGGATCACAGACTGTCACTCCTATTTCAATAGACCCACTCCAAGAATTGACCTGAAAATAAAGCAATACAAATTGATATTTCATTACTATATCATATTGCTTTAACATGAAGTGGGGTGAATATCTATGGCGAATAGGCCATGCTATGGGCAATAATTTGAAAACTGTCCAGGAGTGACCAAGAATGAGTATGTGCCATCCATAAACTTTTTACTTTTTAGGTCTAGGTGATAGGCTGATAGGTGTATGATGTGGATGTCATTTGTAGGTGGCCCTAGTCTTGTCAGTTCAGTAGCTTATAATCCAGAGATTCTTACATTTCCACTAATTTTCAGCACTCACCCCCCAACCCCCCCCCCCCCCCCCCACCCCCCCCCCCCCCCCCAATGCCTTGTATAACTTCGAAAGCATACTCTAATACTAGCCTACAATCAATTAAAATTAAATAATTAAATCATAAATTCTAACTTTTAAAAAAAAAAAATGAGCCTTATTTTTTCTTCACCTTCCTATCAATTTTGACTTCAAATACTTGATTATCCCGTAGAGGATCTAAGCTTAGTACAACCCCATTGTTAAATTCTTGAGTTGGGTGGTTTCTTAGAGCTGTCCTATTATTATTACTCAATGCAACTAATGAGCCAGTTCTGGAATGGAACGTCGGCAGAGACGACGATGTAGCCATCTTTGTTGCACATTCTCAGGGTGATAGTCGCAAAATAAACAGAATAATAATTAGGTCAAGGTTGTATTCCAATTTATGTCACAAAATTATGTTTCAATTATTATACTAATCTGCAAACCACAATTAACATAGGAATGAAACAAACGGATAATATCATAACTCATGGCGTAAACTATTATGTTTACATTAAATCCTTTACGACATAAAGCCAGACTCTTCGACTCTGACCAACCAGCATAATAAAAGCATAACTGTTGTCAATTTAAGTCATTACAAAATTAAATAGCAATTAATTATAACTAGCCTGATTTTAGGCATCGTAACAGAACTGATGTTTATGGAGCCATCCATAGGAGACGTATATTAATTACGTCAACACTTTTTACTCAATTTTTGACCCCTTGTCAGAAACAATTGTCAAACTTTCGATGACATTTCATTAGATCTTTAGCTTGTTAATCAACAAGTTAAAAAGTTTGTTCACTTAAATTTTATAAAGCAGAAATCAGAATCAATTAAAAGGTTGTTAAAGACTAAATATCATTGTTTGTAAAAGTATAAATATAATTATTGTCAGTATAGCTGGTTTCTAGCTGCTATTATCTTCACATGGAGTAGCCAGGTGTTGCTCTATCGTAACAATGGGCATCAGGGACATCATTTTGGTTTAGCCCCCCCCCCCCCCTTTTTTTTTTTCCCAAAAAAAAAAAT